AGCATCCATCTCTTTCATTTGAAAAATCTTTGGTCTCCAATTCTCAAAGCCTGTGGCTCAGAATTGGGGGAGTGGGTAGGCACAAGATTCAGACCTGGCCAATTAATTCAGCATCTTCCTGACGTTTGTGACCTGAGCTAGGCCAACGGGAGCTTAGCTAGGACTCTCACTGGGACTCCAGAAAAGAAGCATTCTCCCTCAGCTGAGGTTTTAAATCTGGTTGAATCAAGCTTGTCAGCCGTGAGCTATCTTTGCCATCACATGGTGATCCCCTATCTGGAAATGAACCCAACTCAGAGGGATACCAAACCAAGGATGGAGACAGATTTCTGATGACGTGGTTTGAGCACCTAGATCCAGTCAGATCTACCGCTCGTCTTTTTGGTTATGTGAACCAATAAATCTCTATGCTTAATCCTATTTGAATTCAGTTTCAAAACTTGCTACTCAGAGTCTTCACTAATACTTATCATCATCATAATCCTTATCTGCAGCACCACCTCGTCTCCTCCTTCCTGGAGCCAGAAGTAAAAGTTCACTTCCTGAAGCAGAGCCTCAGATGATTGCAGCAATCAAATAGCAAGCACCCACAGGAAGTCCAGGGTGGCAGTGTGGGGCATGGTAGTTGAGTAGGCAGCTTTGAGGTTCATGTACGCACAGGAAACACAAGGGCAGGGACCTACCTACCATTGACACACAGGCTCTAACAGCCTATTCCTGGAGCACTCATCTGTTTAATCTCCAAGCTCCAATTGCAAAGGCCTTGTTAGACACAGATTAAATCACTCTGGTGGATGCTCAATGGGCACTCTGAGCCAATCAGGAACCGACGTTCCTCTTAAAGCTTAGTACAGTAATACCTTGGTTTGTGAGCATAATTCGTTCTGGAAACAAACTACTCGTATTGCAAGACATGGCTCGTTTACCACCTTAAAATGTATTAGAAATGTTTGCTTGTCTTACGGAACACTCGCAAACCAAGTTACACGCAATCCAAGGTTTTACTGTATTTGCGTGCAGTCGTTCCTTTAAACAGCTCAGGCCTCGCAATGATAAGGCAATTCTAAACTCTTGTCCCAGGGCCTACTCAGTTTTGTAGATGCAAATATTGCCACTGAAAATGGTCCACAAACATTATCTAAGATTTTCCAGAAACCCAGGGAGAGAAGAAGTGGACTCTTTCATTCATTCTATTAGATTAGGAGTAATAAAAAGGGAAAGAGCAGACCCACTTCTTGTAAATCAAGACTGTAAGCTCCATGAGAGCAGAGACCCATGTTTCTTTGTGCTTATCATTGTATTTGTAGTACATAACTTGATACCCAGAAAAAAAATCTTTGTTGCATGACTGGCCAAAGAGATGAATGAATGAAGCACGAAAGGTTTGGAAAGGGAAGATCAAATGATGCTCTCAGTCAGGATCAGATAATAGCTCTGAGTTGTGCAGCCCTGGGTTTTGTACCAAAGAGAATACCTCTAGAGAGCCCTTTCTACCTTAGGACTCTTCTGCCATCTTAACTGATATTGTGGACAATGGTCATTCTTTGCAACATCTATTCCCCTTTTCTATGAGGTCCCCAATTTCCTTTGGGGAAAACCCTCTCCTCATTTTGTGTCCTCCTTTTGAGTGAATCCTGGTTAGTGCCTCCCACCATGAAAGGTGAAGAAATCACATCCTTTTGTTTGCCCCATTCCCCTCTTTGGATCAATGTAACCTAAACTCAGTCAGATGATTGCTCCCAGGACATTGTCTCTTGGGCAAGTGACTTAAGGACGGAAGGGCTGGTTGGAGCTCATCCCCAGGCTGCAATTCTGTGTGTCTCTTTTAAAAAATGCCATCCTGGAAGCCTCTTCCTTTAACACTCATTCCAAGTGGTTATTTGCCCTTTCCATTCCCATTCCTTGTAATGGACAGTGAGTGACAGGGTCGTTCCTTCCTTCTCTGCAGTGAATACTCCTCTGTAACTGATTCCTCACCTCCAGCAGCTTGACCTTGTGCTTTGGCCGTCATTGATTGATTGTTCGAGCATTAGACATCTTACCCTACACTGGGCCAATGATATTTCTCTTTTCTGGGAGTTTATAAGTTTGACCTAGGCAATGTGAAAGTTGTAGGTTCCTGAGAGCTAAGCCTCAGAAGTGGGTTGGTTCTAGGAGGAAGGTCTATAATTTTCTGTTGCCAAGGTTTCAGATTTTCTCCTGGGCCCCAATACTTAGCTACTGTGAGAAGAGTTCCACTACATTTACCTTTCTTGATTAAGTTTTCTAGTTTTTGCTTATGTTATCTGCAACCACAAAAATCTTAATTAACACAGTCTCCATGTGATAAAAGGCACCTTGGAGGCCAGGCCAGATTTTCATTCATTCACACATGTATTCATTCATCAAACATTTATTGAGCATTTACTATGTGCCAGGCTCTCTGCTAGTTGCTGTGAGCCCAAAGTTGAATTTGACAATCCCTTGAACTCAAGGAGCCTGCTCTCTGACTAGTTGGGGTGTAAATGTATTCAATCATTCATTCATTCATTTAACAAATAATTCATTTCTTCAATGAATAATCACAGCACTTACTAAATATTATATGACAGGTCCTGATACTAAATGCTTTTCTCATTTAATTCTCATAACTTTATTAGGTAGGTCTCATTTTATAGATGAAGGAACTGAGTCACAGAGAGGTTAGGCAGCTTTGCCAAAGTCACAGTGTTTCTAAGTACTGGAGCTGGGTCTCCAAGTCTGACTACAGAGCTCTGGCTTCTCACCATTGTATAACCTTCCCCTCCAAACAAAGAATCCCAAAGCAATGTGACACGTATAAAGTACACAGAGAAGAAAGTGTTTAATTTTATGGGGAGGTTACAGTTCAAGAAAGGTTTCACAATTGAAATGGTTTAAGCAATCTTGGAGGAAGATAATAGTTATAACTCTTGTGCCTATCACAGAACTTTGCATATGAATGCAGTAATATGATGATGAGGCAATTTATGCATCTGGAAGTTGTTTTCCTACATGGAGTCTGAGGTGTTTCCTACTGCCTTCTGAGGCATCCCTTTTGTGATTTAGCAATGGCGTGCAAGGTCATCAGATCATTTGTGTATTGTATCATTGATGCTCACAAAAGCCTTGTGAGGTAGTGGTATTAACTTCGTAAGATGGGTGAGGAAACCAAAGCTGATGTTGCATGACTCGTCCAAGACCACACATGGTGAGTAAGTGGCAGAACAAGACAAGGATCTTGCCCTCTGGAGGGAGGGATTGGCTAACAGGATTCCTCTAATCTTGTCAGGCTGCTGTACTCTTAATCTGCAGTTCAAGGATTTGCTATTTCTAGCCTCTGCACCTGAGCTTCTGAAGGCTCCCTCTCCCAGGAACGTCCTCCCTTTCCTTCTCATTTCCCGCTTTCCAAATCCTGAGCATCCTTCAAGATCAAGCTCATCCCACATCTTCCCCCCAAGTCTTCTCCAGGTTCATTCAGTCCACTAATAAACTTCAATTAAAATCCCTTAGCTCTGCTTCCAACCAGATTTCTGCCCTGAAATCTTCCTATATAGAAAGTCTAGACTCATCACTGCCATCTAGCCTGTCTCATCAGAACTCCTGTTGCCTAATCTCTCCAGCCTTCAGTTGGTTTTTTATTGTTGTTTACTTTTCATGTGTCTATCTTGTCTCTCACTAGAATGTGAGCCACAAAACACATGCTTCTTTTTTAGCTTCATCTATCACACACTTTTGTTCTTTGGGATCATGGTGTTTGTTGACTCAAAGAGGATATCTGCTTTGCTCGCCTTTTGTAGATTGTTCAGCTCCTAAATCATGCAAAACTGCTAACTTGTCGGACCTCCTTTCTCAAGTTCCTGGCGGGTAGGAGAAGAAGGCAGGGGCTCTCATAGGTGCATTCAGCAATTAATAAGTAACACTTACTATTTACTAATTGCCAGGTCCTGTACAAAATACACTACAGTACATGTTTTAACCCATTAAGTCCTCAGGACAACTGTTATCCCCACTGACCTGATCAAGACATACTCATATAGAGATCACTCTGCTAGTAAGTGATGCAGCCAGGATTCAAACTCAGCCTGACTTAAGCCCATACTCTTAACTATGATATTAAATTCTTTATGGGTAATCAAAAGTCTCTTGCTATAACCTATATCCATTTCGTTTCTTTCTAACCCCTGTGGGTAGATAGAATTAAAGGAGTGAGAAAATAATACAGTATTTATTATGCTCCTAGTATGGGCCAGATATTATAGTAGGTGCACAATGCTTTATTAATATAATTCTTGCACGAGTCTATGAAGCAGGAAGTATTAACTCCATCTTAAAGAATTTGGCTCCCCAAATTGTTAAATACTCAAGGTTTAGCTTCCAGATATTGGCAGAATTGAAAGGGACCAGGTTTCCTGACTTTCAAGGAAGTGCTCTTTAAAGGAAATTGAACAGAAAACAGATAGTGACAGATGTGAAGGGCAAAGAGACACCTGAATTATTAAGAAATGTGTTAATATATACTGAAGAATGGTGGGAGAATGTCAAAAAAGCCTATTCTATAAACACCCATAAGGAATTACTCAATTAAATAAAGGAGCCCTGCCTTGGCCTAAGATTAAACCTGAGCATTTATCCGCAGGCAAGGGAGAGAGGGCGTCCACCCGTCCAAGAGAACCGGCGAACCCGCTCTAAAGACGGGCTCAGCCCCTTTCTGTTCCTCACACACTAATTGGCTACTTCCTCCCTGAGCCCCGCCTCCCCCTCCGTGTGGACCATTAAGCAGCCCAGCCTTTCCGCCGACCCGGCTCGGACCTCCAATCTGGTGCCAGGTTCACGAGTCCCTCCAGAAGCCCTCTCGACACCCGGCGAGCCACTTTTCTCTCGCCAGGGATTGGCCAGGCAGCGCCCCCGCACGGGCTTCCCGTGGGCGGCGTGGCCGCGGCTTCCGCGGGCGTGGGCCCCGCCCCCATGTGACGGCCGGGCCGGGAATTGGCGGCAGCTTGCAGCCATTTCCGGTTTCGGGGAGGTGGGTGGGGTGCGGAACGGGACTTGGAGCCGCCGCCGCCGCCGCCTTGGCCGCTGCTTACAGAGAGCCTCCCTTGCGCCTGGTGCTGCCGGGACCATGCGGCCGGGACCCGGAGGCTGCTGCTGCCGTCGCCCGGTGGGGGCGAACGGCTGCGTGGCGAACGGGGAAATGCGGAACGGGTACGTGAGGAGCAGCGCCGCAGCCGCCGCCGGCCAGGTACGGTGGGACCGGGCGGCCGGGCCGGAGCTGTGGGCCGGGACCCCGCGTGCTGGCGCTCATGCAGAGCCGGCGGAGGGGCGGCTGGGCGGGGCGAGGTCGCGGTGACCGTCCGCCGGCGGGCGGCGGGCGCGGCTCAGGTGAGCTGGCGGCGGTGTCCTGGCGCTGACCGGGCCTGGCCCGAGCCGGGAACCTCAAGGGCGGTTCAGGGGCTGCCTCACCTCCCCGCTTCTGAGGTCCTCCGCCCCTGACCCCGGAGGTCAGGGCTCTGCTCAAAGCCCGGGGGTTTCACCCGATCCAGTCAGAAGTGGGGACTGCCTTCCAGGGGAGGCAGGGAGTGACCCCTCGGACCCAGGAGGAACCACTTAGGGGCGCGTGATTCTTTCTCCCGAGGCTCCCGCTTCATGCCCTCGAGATGGGTGCTTCCTCTGAGAGTCCCGAAGCCTTCCAAGGAAAACCATCTTGGGGTTCTCAGGAGGCAAAGTGAGTTAGGAGGTGGTACCAGGCGAAAGCCTGGCGTCTTCCTAACCACACGCCTGCCTACCCCTTCCACAAGGAACACACCGGACCACAGATCTGGAAGGGGTCCCGGCCCGGCGCCTCGGAAGCCTTATGCTCTCGTGAGACCCCATCCCGGGCTCCACTTAGGTGGTCCCTTTGACCCACAGCTCTCACACGGCAGGGGACTGTTTCACCTGGTGGTGACTTGTGATGACTCTCTACTAAAATTACCCAAAGGCTGAATCACCGCCCAAGTCCAGGCAGTTCTGAAATATTTTGAAAAGTTTTCAATTCAAGACTGGAATGATTATCAACCTTCCAGTTCTCTGGATTTACAGATACTCTGCCGAAATGTGTTTTTAAAAGACCAGCTGGTTAAAAAGATGCAAGATCAGTGTTGCTGGAAGAAAGTGGTGTGATATTTGCCATGGACTTTAATACTCATACATCTTGTTCGGACATTAAGGAAAACTTTTTTTTCCCCAAAAGAAGTAGTTTCCTGTAGCAGGCATGCGATGGTTCTGATTTAATTTGGCTTTGGCTCCTCCCCCAATCAGTAGATGTGATGGATAGATAGGCCTGTTGCTGTTTGGTGTGAAACCGAAAATAAAGCATTTCTCCAGATCATGTTGCGAGAAGACGACTAAGTGCTGGGTGGGGCGGGGGAAATACATCCAAGAGACTTGACCTCCCCTGAAGTTGTATGGCGTACGGCAGCATAACACACAAATTCAAAAGATTTGTTTTCATTTTTGAAGAAATAATTGTGTGAGAGAGGAAGTGAAAAGAATTGGCTCATTGTAAGCAGTGGAAGTTGTTTTCCTAGCAATGGAAATGGCTAATGAGACAAAATTGTGGTATAGAATGTAACAGGGAAACCTAATGGGTAGGAGTTAGAAAATACACTGCAGGCGAATGAGTGGGTTATGGTTTTTAAGGGAGGGGGCAAAGGAAATCAAGAGACAGGTGTTCACCTAAGGTACATCGTGTTTAAGTGGCTTTTTCAGGTAACATAACAGAAGTTGTATGGATTTAGTAGTAGATCAGGCTCCTCCCTTCCATAATCCCTAACAGTGTAGCATTTGTAAGCATGCTATTTCTTCAGAGATTGCCGACTAAGAAGATGAAGACATTACATGTTGCCAAAACGAAACTTAAAAATGTGTATGACTCAAACAGACATCTAGCTGACTTTTTCTAAAATAGGTATTTCAGTGAAAAATTCCACTCAAGGCGCTTGGTGACATTTGAAGGAATGGTGGAATGCCCTAAAGAATGTTTAGGGCAGTTTCTAGGAAGTCTTTCACATGTCTTTTTGAAACAAAGACTTTAGGTATATGGCTTTGTACACTAATATGAAGAATATTGTCTGTGAGGTGTTTTTTTTTTTTTTCTTAAGCAAAAGAGATTTTTGGTAACTTCATGAGAGCAAGAGTATCTTTAAAAATTTTTAAGTTTTTTTTTTTTAAGGACTTTTATTGGGGAATTGAGGGATGGGAATAGCGCTGGGGAATTGGAGGAAGGGGAACAGACAAGTTTCTGTCTTTTTGTTCTTCAGTCTAGTTGTGGAGGACGTTGCTTCACTTGCCCAAGTTGGCACCATCATTGCGCTCTTCCCGGGCGAGGCAGATCAGTTGCCAGCTTCTGGACAGCTGCTCACGCTGGTTGCTGGCTACACACAGTAGCCCTTGACAACCCACTGCAGTAGGGGCTGCAGCGCCGACTTCGGCAACTCATGGCAGCCCATCTTCAGGTTGAGCTGTTGTTTAGCATCTTAGCTGTAGAGGGCAGTGTCACTGGCCCTCATGTGTGGGATCCGAACTAGGGCCCTCTGGCGTCCCAAGCCAGCTCTTAACCAACGCGCCACTAGGCCGGCCTTTAAAGTTGTTTTAATTAAAGTGATGTGCTAGTGCTCCAACCCCTATTTGTTTTTCCGCAGTTTCTGGGGGATATATTGCCAATGATGCCATAAAAATACATATAAGATGTTAAGTGCGCATGTGTGTCATGCTTTTATTAAAATATAAACTTAGAGTATAATAACATAGTTTTTAAACCTGAGATATAAGTTCATTTCCTCCTATATCCCAACATTTGTCTTTTAATGAACAAGGAGACAAGTCAGAAACATCTGAGATGTTTTTAGACTGCCCAGAGTCTGTGTGTCTGTGTTTGAAAGGACGAATGTACAGATGCTCCTCGACTTACCATGGGACTTTGTCCTGATAAACCCATCATAAGTCGAGAGTGCATATATACTACACTGTAGAGTATACGTTGTTGACCCTGGTGATGGCGGGGCTGACTGGGAGTTGTGGCTCACTGCTGCTGCCCAGCATAATGAGGGAGTATCCTCCTGCATATCGCCAGCCCAGGAAAAGAACAAAATTCATAATAGGGTTGTACTGAATGGGTATCACTTTCGTGCCTTCATAAAGTTGAAAAATTGAAACTAGAATCATTGTATGAGTCAGGGACTGTATATATGCTTGTCATTTTGTTGGATTTGGGTTTGGAGTTAAGTTCAATAGATTCTTTGGTAGAATAGGTGTATGAAACCATCAGACATTACTGTTTGCTTTTGTTTTCTGGGGTTTTTTTTCCAACTGTTTTTTGTAAAATGCACATGACATAAAATTTACCATCTTAACCATTTTTAAGTGTACAGTTCAGTAGTGTTAAATACATTCATAATGTTAAATACATTCATAATGTGCCACTGTCATCACCATCCATTTACATAACCCTTCATTTTGTAAGACTAAAACTCTATACCCATTAAGCAGTAACTCCCCATTTTCCCCTTCTCCCATTTCCTGTCAACCTCCAATTCTTTCTTTCTCTATGAATTTGATTGCTGTTAAGTACCTCATAAAAGTGGGAGAAGTATTTGTCTTTTTGTGACTGGCTTATTTCCTTTAGCATAATGTCCTCATGTAGTAGCATGTATCAGAATTTCCTTTATAAGGCTGAATAATATTCCATTGTATGTACATAAACACCACATTTTGCTTAGCCATTCATATGTTAATGGACACTTGGGTTGTTTCCAGGTTTTAGCTATTTTGAATAATGCTGCTATGAACATGGGTATAGAAATACCTTTTCCATTTCCAGCTTTCAGTTCTTTTGGATGTATACCCAGAAGTGGAATTCCTGGATCATAATTCTACTTTTAATTTCTTGAGGAAATGCCATACTGTTTTCACGGTGGCTGTACCATTTTACATTCCCATCAGCGGTACACAAGGCTTCCAATTTCTCCACATCCTTACCAGCACTTGTTATTTTCTGTTTTTTTGTTTTGTTTTTAATGGTAACTGTGAGATAATAGGGAATATATATCTATATCTATATCTGTATCTATATATTTATCTGTCCCTGGTTCCTTGCACACATTCCTAAGACCTGTATGATTTCCTAAGTGATAAGAGCATTAGGAGCATCTTTTGTTTTAATGTTTGGTCTTTGACCCTGATTCCTGACACAACATACTAATACTAAATCTCTTGGAATTTTCTGGGTGATGGGAGTGTCTTTTGTTCTAATGAGGTGACTCTTGGTGAACTCCTGGATGGGAGCTGGTCACCAGAAAGACTAAGCCATGAATAGAAGCTTGGAATTCTCATCCTTACGTCCCATTTTCCAGAGAGGGGAGAGGGCCTGGAAATGGAGTTAATGATTGATCACGCCTACGTGATGAAGCCTCTGTAAAAATCCCAAAAGTACATGCAGGCAGAGTTCAGAAAACTTCTGGTTGCTGAACACATGGAGGTGCTGGGAGAGGTGCACTCCTTCCCACACACCTTGCCCTACGCATCTCTTCAAACTAGATGTTCATCTGTATCTTTATTATATCTTTTTATAATAAATTGTTAAACAGTAAACGATTTTCCTGAGTTCTATGAGCTGCTCTAGCAAATTAATCAAGCTGGAGGAGGGGGCCATCGGAACCTCTGATTTATAGCTGATAGATGAGATGCGCAGGCGACAACCTGGACTTGAGATTGGCATCTGAAGTTGGGGGGTTGGGGGACAGTCTTGTGGGACTGAGCCCTTAACCTGTGGGATGTGTCAGGTAGATAGCGTTAGAATTGTAGGACACTCAGCTGTTGTCACAGTATTGCTTGCTTGTGTGGAAACACCTACTCTGACACCCCCTTCCCCCCCCCCCCCAATCTGGTGTTAGAAATGTGAGTGTGGTAGTAGTGTGAAAATAAAGGAGAAACATCACAGGAGTGTTGGGTTTGGTTTTTTTTTTACAGTAGCCATCCTCATGGGTGTAGAAGAAATCACTTCTTTAATGAAGACAGACACAGTTTTCACAAGGAAGTGTCAGTAAAGCAGTAATTTTCCCTCCTTGCCATTCAGAGGAGTGAGAAGAGGGTGAACCTTTATTTGAGGTAAAGAGTGGCTATTAGCATTAGGGAAACTTTGAAAGAATTAGAATTGTGGAAGGTTTGACAGAATTAGAACTGGAAGGAACCTTGAGGGGTTTA